ATTCAACACCCATTTATGATAAAGGTGTTGAATTTTGTCAAATGCTTTTTCAGCATCTAGTGAGATGATCATATGGTTTTTTTCTTTCAGTTTATTTATATGATGGATTACATTGATAGATTTGCGTATGTTGAACCAGCCCTGCATCTCTGGAATGAAGCCGACTTGATCATAATGGATAATTTTTCTAATGTGCTCTTGGATTCGGTTTGCCAGTATTTTATTGAGAATTTTCGCGTCAATGTTCATGAGTGAGATTGGCCTGTAATTCTCTTTCTTGGTTGTGTCTTTGTGTGGTTTTGGTATTAGGGTAACTGTAGCTTCATAAAAGGAGTTAGGCAGTGACTCTTCTGTTTCTATATTGTGGAATACGTTAAGGAGTATAGGTATTAGCTCTTCCTGGAAGTTCTGGTAGAATTCTGCATTGAAACCATCTGGTCCTGGGCTTTTTTTGGTAGGGAGATTTTTGATAACAGCTTCTAACTCTTCGCGACTAACAGGTCTATTTAGATTGTTCACCTGTTCTTGGTTCAACTTTGGTATATGGTATTTATCTAAAAAAATGTCCATTTCTTTTACATTTTCCAACTTTGTGGCATATAAACTTTCATAGTAAGATCTAATGATTCTCTGAATTTCCTCTGTGTCTGTGGTTCTGTCCCCCTTTTCATTTCTGATCTTATTAATTTGCATGTTCTCTCTCTGCCGTTTGATTAACTTGGATAGGGGTTTGTCAATCTTGTTGATTTTCTCCAAGAACCAGCTTTTTGATTCATTGATTCTTTGGATTGTTTTCTCTGTTTCTATTTTGTTGATTTCAGCCCTCAGTTTGATTATTTCCAGTCTTCTAGACCTCCTGGGTGAATCAGCTTCTTTTTTTTCTAGATCTTTCAAGTGTGCTGTTAAGTCTCCAATGTGTGCTTTCTCCGCTTTCTTTAATTGGGCACTTAGTGCTATGAACTTTCCTCTTAGCACTGCTTTCATAGTGTCCCATAGGTTTGAGTATGTTGTGTCTTTGTTTTCATTAAATTCAAGGAAGAGATTAATTTCTTTCTTTATTTCTTCCTTGACCCAGGGGTGATTTAGTAGTTGACTGTTCAGTTTCCATGAGTTTGATGGCTTCCTGGGGGGAGCATTGTTGTTGAATTCTAATTTTAGTCCATGGTGATCTGACAAGACACAGGTAGTTACTAATATTTTTCTGTATCTGTGGAAGTTTGCTTTGTTACCGAGTATGTGGTCAATTTTCGAGAAGGTTCCATGAGCTGCAGAGAAAAAGGTATATTCTTTCCTATTTGGGTGGAGTGTTCTATAGATGTCTGTTAAGTCCATTTGATTCAATACCTCCAATAGGTCTCTCAATTCTCTGTTTGGTTTCTGTCTGATTGACCTGTCCATTGGTGAGAGAGGAGTGTTGAAGTCTCCTACTATTAGTGTGTGTGGTTTGATGACCGCCTTGAGTTCTAGAAGAGTTTCTTTTACATATGTGGGTGCCTTTATATTAGGAGCATAGATATTCAGGATTGAGACTTCCTCCTGATGAATTGTTCCAGTTATGAGTATGAAATGTCCATCTCCATTTCTTCTGATTGATTTTAGTTTGAAGTCGATTTTGTTAGATATTAGAATGGCCACGCCCGATTGTTTCTTAGGTCCATTTGCTTGGAAAACCTTTTCCCAACCCTTTACTCTGAGTAAGTGTCTGTCTTTGTGGTTGAGGTGTGTTTCTTGTAAACAGCAGAATGTTGGATCCTGTTTTCGTATCCAATCTCTAAGTCTGTGCCTCTTTATAGGTGAATTGAGTCCATTGATATTAAGTGATATTAATGACCAGTGGGTGTTGACTCCGGTCATTTTTTTTTTTTAAGTTGTAGAGTGTATGTGTTTTTCTTCTTTGATTTGTGCTTGTGAATGGTCGCTAGATGTTCGAGTTATTGTAGATCGTGTTGGGAATGTTGGATTCCTTCGGTAATGATTTTCCTTCTAATATTCTCTGTAAGGCTGGATTAGTAGCTACGTATTGTTTAAATTTGTTTTTATCCTGGAATATTTTGTTTTCTCCGTTGATAGTGAACAATAGCTTGGCTGGGTATAGTAGTCTGGGTTTGCATCCATGGTCTCTTAGTTTCTGCAGTACCTCTATCCAGGATCTTCTGGCTTTCATGGTTTCCATAGAGAAATCCGGTGTAAGCCTGATAGGTTTACCTTTATAAGTTACTTGACCTTTTTCCTTTGCAGCTCTTAAAATTTTTTCTTTAATATTTATGTTTTGTGTTTTGATTATTATATGGCGCGGGGATGTTTTTTTCTGATCCAATCTATTCGGTGTTCTGTATGCTTCTTGAACCTTCATAGGAATATCGTTCTTTAGGTTGGGAAAGTTTTCTTCTATAATTTTGTTGAATATATTTTCTGGGCCTTCGATCTGCAGTTCTTCTCCTTCTTCAATCCCTATTATTCTTAGATTTGTTTTTTTTATTGTGTCCCAGATTTCCTGAATGTTTTGTGAAGAGAATTTGTTGGATTTGCCGTTTTCTCTGACCAGAGCATTTATTTTCTCTATGGTATCTTCAGAATCTGAGATTCGTTCTTCTATCTCTTGTATTCTATTGGTTATGCTTGATTCTGTAGTCTCCGCTCGTTTACCTAGGTTTTCCATATCCAGCCGGTTCTCGTTTTGTGTTTTCTTCATTGCCTCCATTTCAGTTTTCAATTCTTGGACTGTTTCCTTTACTTGTTTGATTGTTTTTTCTTGGTTTCTCAGGGTATCACTCACGGATTTACTTATTTCTTCAAACTTTTTGTTATATTTCTCATCCATTTCTATACTCATTTCTTCAAACTTTTTGTTATACTTCTCGACCAGTTCCTTAAGGGAGTTATTCATATCCTGTTTAAGGGACTCTATTGCTTTCATAATGGCACTTTTTTCCACTTCATCTGGGTTAGAGTGTTCAAATCCTTCTGTTGTAGGGTCATTGGGATCTGATATTTTCATGTTGTTTTTCAGATTGTTGGAGGAGGTCTTGCCTTGGCGTCTGCCCATCTCTTCGATCAAATGCTCTCTATTGGAACTTCTGGTATCGGGTCAGGTTCCCTTGTTGGGCAGGGAGTTCACTGATAGAATGCCTACCTTTCCCCAAGCAGGGTATTGAACCACAGGCACTGCCTCTTTCCGGGATGCCCCTATAGAGCAGGCCCAGTGTGCAAGGCAGCTGAGGTGGGGAAATTTTATGGGCTCAGTGGGAGGGGAGAAATATAGAAATTTGTACCTGGATGGAAGCTGGGATGGCAGGTGGGAGAGCCTAGCAGGGTGGAAACAGCACTGCAGGCTGACCTGGGAGTCTATGGGGTCGGGGAGATTCCTAGCTCCCCCTCGCCGGGCCCCTGTCGTGGGCCCGAATCAACTCACCACTCCGAAGGCCCTCTGGATGGAAGCTGGGATGGCTGGCAGGGAAGCTAGCAGGGTGGAGCCAGCAGAGCAGGCTGACCTGGGAGTC